ATCATCTTTGTATATTAAAAATAAAGTATTTGAATGATAAGAGTTTTACTGTGTAATTACGTTTTTCTTTTAACAAATTTAATAATATTAAAGTTGTTATTAAATTGTCCCATTCAAATACTTATTTTTATTTACAATAACTCCTTACGCAAGAAATCACACTAGTAAATTATGAGTGATAATAGTCAAAACTCAGAGAGGATTTTTACATTACATCTATTTCAAGTATAAATTTGTTAATATTCCGATCAAAGAGCAATATTCAATAAATTAATTACATTTAATATATATTTTACTGCAACTAGTAATTCAAGGTTTCCAGCAAACTTTAATCTTACCCAAATTTGAATGATTTTTAAGGCTTTTCGGAAAATTTGTTTATTGTTGATACTTAAATTATTTATTTAATGTCCAATATATTTTCTTAGACGCAATTTCAACAAATATTTGTAAAGGGGTTTATTATATCTAACGTCCCCTTCTATAATATAATACATTTATTTTTATTAGTAATTATTTTTAAAATTTAAAATGTTTAAATAATTATTATGTCCATCCCTGTGCGTTTAGGGTACCAACTTAATTTCGTTAAATAGAAACATTCATATTTAACTAGATCATATAATAAAAATGCACATAAAAACACTCTTGTGATTCACGAATACCGTGTCGTAATACGAATGTCCCAGATTAGTTTTTTTTTACCATCATCGCAACTATTTCCCATATTTTCAAAGACGTTGACTAAAATTAACTACCACCGAGATAGTGTATGCGTGGCCGTCAGCTCCCTGTTGAATTATTATCATCACCTGGTAAACAGCAGATTGTATTGCATATTTAATTTACTTAATAAATCGTTGTTAACCAAGAGTATAATATATATATTATTGTAGTGCGACCCTTGGTAGTTCCTCCAAGGGAATATAAATTAAATAGGCAATCTCAATACCTAAGATGGATATAGCCTAGCGAACTTACTATATCCCCCGTTGGTCCCTCAAAATACTGTTGACGGACATTTAGGTTTGTTGACGAAACCTAGAATATGTATAACTTCATAAATTAAACTGTACTATTAACAATGCTGTTGCAAACAAATTAAATACCAGTCATCAATTCATGCACCTATTAGAACGTATTACATTGTATGCTTCAAATTAATGTGAGTAAAATTTAATAACCATTCATATATTATTAATAAATTTATAATTTTGTTTTAGAAAGAACATTAAATAGAAAACAAAAATGATGGGATAACATTTTTCAACACAAACATTTTTATCAACCGGCACTATCTACTATCGGCAAGTCAATGTTGAATAGGTCATAAATAAAGTTCATTTTCTAGGGAAGGTATACGCTAACGGTACAACGTACAAATAGTACGCGTCGATTCCGCGCATTTGATATGCCGCAACGGTATGTACATTTGTGCCAATTGACAAGTGTCGTAAATGCCTAATGCTTTGCATTACGCATCTTACATTTATCAATGAAAAATGTATAATCTGTATTTTATATTACTAGTATACAAACAAATAATTAATTTATCTGTTATAACATACAGACATTTGTACACTAACTATTATATATGTATATACATGTTAAATTGATTATTGTACACTATACATCTTATCTTAAAATAACTATCATGTTATGTTCAATTTAATACAATAAATTGAGAATCACTAAAAGCGCTGACGACAACAACCTATGAAGGGGGCAATTAAAAATAATATAAAAAGGCTTAATTCTGCTTGCACATTAGTGAGTGAGTGAGCGAGTGTGCCAGCGAGCGCCTCAATTCTCTCTTCTTTTTGAAGACCTGAATTCAATAAGGAATTCAGAATTCTTCTATTTTGATTTATTTTGAACAAACTAGCCGCGACCCCGTGTTGTCGTCGGTACATTTTAAAGCGATATTGAATACAATTATTTTGCGTTAACACTTTATTTATTTAAAAGAGATAGTATAAATATTTACGCAAACCTTGACGATCTTTGTACAAGCCAAATAAAAAGGTGAGTAAATTTATATTAACCCAATTATTTAGAATTAATCATCTGAGTAAAGAATGATAAAGCAATAGATCACATATTTATATTCAAACTTTATTAATTGTTACTGACTAGTTCGTACCTTATACATAATCACATTATATGTATTTCGTGGACTGGCTCCGCCGTTTCGTTGCCTTAAAGATGTTTTAAAAAACCTAATGTGATTTCTACTGTATATATAAACACTTCGACTGGGTATTCGTGAGATGGCCACCGCCTCTTCGTTGCCTCAGTGTATTATTTCAGGTACTTACCAGTTAGATCATTTGTAATATCTCTATAGAGAAACTTTAATGATTTCTTTTTATATCTACTTGTCTTTATTGTTCTAAAACCCTCGGACTCTACAACCCCGATAGAACCACAACATCAGGTTCTCACTATACACAAAAACCCAAAACCCCATCTCTTAAAATTTTACTTTCATTTTTATTTTATTAATTTTTGTTATTTGAATTATAACACAAGGTACCGAGTTTTCCTCAGCCACACATCACGTTATCAACCTATATGTTAGTGTATCAGGATCTGAATCATAAGTGCACGGTGGCCTAGTGATAAGGTTTGTCACTACGACGCCTTTGGTCGAGGGTTCAAATACCGTAAAGTGTCTTTTTTCAGACGATTTTCGGTAAACTTGTTATGACCGGCCGTCAATCCTAGACAGCTGTGTTACAATTCACCCCCAACGCTGTCGTTAAACTCCAAGTCAATATTTTGTAAATGCTGAATACCTCTTTTATGTTACCTCTACAAATTCCGACATCTCTACAGTTGTCTTTTTACGTTGATAAAAACTTCGATCACGTGCCTAACGCGTAGTGCAGTATTTCACGTCATTACTACAAGGTCGTTTGTTGTATACAGTATTGACCCTATGTGTGTGTGTGTGTGTACTATGGCAATACTTTTTACGTTAAAATATAACATAGTATAACGAAGATGCAACTATTGTTGCTACTACAGTTGTTGCCGCCGTTATCACATCAGCTATATCCGCATCAGATACAAGTCATAGCCACAATCACATGTATAAGACGTGTTTATCCAATGGATTTATCTCATTAAATCATTTAGACGTCATCGAGGTGTAACTCTATTAGTGCGGGCGATTACTTCACAGCTCAATGTTTAATATAAACTATGAAGACAAGGACTCACCGGAGCCACCGGGAGGAAGGTCGTTTGATTATGTACAATGGCTTGTATAAACTTTGCGTGATAACGACCTCGGTGTATATGTATAATTTTATTCTTTCAATACTAAATAAAAATACGATAACAACCATCAAAAAAAATATTTCATTTAAATTACTTAAATAGAAAGTTTAACGCAACCGTTGGCAATGTGTTTTTCAATTAGATAAAGACATATAAGCTTACAAGCTACTACGAACGCTTTAAAAAAAAAACAAAATTTTCAGGATTCTTTTATATTTTTGTACTTTTTATAAATTTTATTTTATATATTTTAAGCCAATAATATTTTTATTTTTTTATTGTAGAATCTAATATAACCAGTGAAAAGACTGAAGGACGTCTCTATTCAAAACCCCATATAAGTCTTTTTTTCTAAATATTGAGTTATCAAAATATGTTGATATTTAAAACTTTTATTTATTATTTAAAATATTTTTTTAGTAATAACATTTTAAAAGTCTGAGCTTTAATTATTATTTAATGTCCAAATGAAGCGTGAAGATCTTGTAAGGTAAAACTTAAATTTGTATAAAAAAAAAATTGAAATTTAATAATTAATTCATTTATGATTACAGAAACTGATTAAATTGTCGTATATGGCCAATTACTTGGCATACACGTATATAATGTAATTGATAATTATTAATGAAAAATTTATAATCTTTATTTTATATTACTTGTAAACAAACAAATAACTTATCTGTTATAACATGTACACTGTTCAACACAATTTCTTATTATTTATATATATGTCAATTTATCAATTGTTAAATATGCTATCTCAATATAATAATCATATATTGTATAATTAAATACAATAAACTAAAAAGATCACTAAAAGCGCTGACAACAATATTCCTGGATTAGGGGTACTATCATTTTACTATAAAAAGCACTGAAATCCTTTCAGATGAGTGAGAGAGTAATGAGAGTTCGCTTTCACCGAATTCAAATAAGAAAACAATTGTTAGCCACAACCCCGTGTTGTTATCGGCTATTTTTTTATGCGTCTTGATTATATACATTCGAAAAGAATTTGTTTTAATTTTCTATTTTTGTAACGAAGTACGAATCGAACACTTATAAGTGTATATATACATATCGAAATATTTATCGAATCATCTACCAGCAATTTGCAAGAAAAAAAAAAGTAAGTATATTTATGTTATCCCAATTATTTAGAGTTAATAAGTTTGAGTAAAGGATGACAAAGCAATAGATCATTTATTAAATTAATATCTTAAAATTTTGACTGGTTAGTTAAAATATTATATATAATTACGTTATATGGTATTCGTGGACTGGCCCGCCGTTTCGTTGCCTTAAAGATGTTTTAAAAAACCTAGCGTGATTTTTACTGTATAAGTTAGGCTCTGGTATTCATGAACTGGCTACGCCGTTTCGTTACATCTTAGATAGGATATTAGAAACTAATCAGACAAAAGTTTATTACATCTCAATTAGAGGTACTGCGTTATTATTTTTATATTTTTATATATTAAAACCTCGAACCATACGACTCCAATAGAACCAAAACATCATGTTCTTACCATATATAGCCCAACCCAAAAATTTCTTTATTTTTATTTTATTAATTTTTGTTATTTGAATTATAACAAAATATACTAAAAAAAGGAGTAAATTTTAGGTATACTTTTTGATAAATATACAGTCACTTTATTGAAATTGAAAGTATTGAAATTAAAATATATAAAAGTTCATTAAAGTATAAACATCTAATTTTATTTTGTATATTCAATAATTGAATATGCAAAACATATATCACATTATAAATTATTCTCATTGTGATTAAAATGTTTTGTTTAATTGTAATCTTAAATATAATTAATTATTACAGATGATGGCAAAGTTTTTTTGCTATTGCAATGTTTGTCTTCTTTGTTAAAACTTTTATTGCGTTTAATGTGCTGTTCCAGTTTTACGAGGCCATCCATATAAGATTTATTATCTCTGAAATTAATAATTAGTGAGAATAAAATTGATCCTAACATACTGTTTCATCATATTTATTATCGGGATCAAAAAATGTTTACTTGTTTATAAATTGTGTTTCATAGTAAAATTATAATAATATTAGGAATAATACAATGTATAATTGCTAGAAATGTTATTGTAATTAAAATAATTAATTATAATTGATAAAAATTATCAAATAAAACTTGGACCGTATTTCGGTCTATGAACCAAAATTATAGTAAACTAATATAAGTTACATAATTCAAGATAATTTTTAGGATTCAAGAGTATAACTATGAAAGGCTTGAAAAACGTGAGCACCCTTAATTTTCATGTAATTAACAATTTTTACATAAAATTTAATGTTAAATAGAACGATTTATTTTCTCCAAAGTAACAATCAGTGAGATTAAACGTGAGAAAATGAGAGAAACAAATATTTTATATAATTACTATAATCTAAATGTATTTTTAGAAATATATGGACATGTTAATTTTAAAGGTGAATATAATATATTCACTTAATATAATATTATTATATTAAGTCTTATAAACAAAAGTAAAATGAAAAATAAACTTACTTTATTTTTTTATTATTGTTCTTATATTTTGCTAAAATATTCATGTTCTTACTATATGGCGCTCTATAAATAAAAAAACCTGCATTGAAATTTTTCATTTATTATTAAAATTTACAATTTCATGTTTTAAATCATTTTTATAGTTTGATGCAAATTTTTTTTTAGCATTATCATCTATTTCTAAATAAATTTAAGTAATAATTTATTAAAACATATTGGAGAGTGATGTGACCTATTTATATCAAAGTATATTTTAGCTTTGATGCGAAGCTGAGAAGGTATTAATTTTATTTTGAAGGGGTTTTTTTTTTGTCTGTTACCACTTTTTTTCAGCTCTCACCAAACCGTTTTCTCTCAACAATACATCAAAAGATCACAAATCTTATCTAGTCGAGACATTACCCTCAAAAAACGAAGGAAAGAAATTCCCTTGTTCCCCATAAATGGGGGAAACCTCCAAAAAAATTACAAATTTAAAAATCGCTAATTTTCGAAATTTTTTAAATTTTTTTACTTAAAACTGCCATAACTATTTTAAAAATAACAAAATCAATATAATATTTTTATAGATGCATAATATCTTTATCTATCATTTAGTATATTTTTTAATCTTACTATTCACCTGCCCACAGGGGAGTATTCAAAATGACAACTTTTTTCAACATGACTTTTGAAAATGTTCAGGAAACTCTGACACTTTTATATCTATATTAAATTAAAGCTAATGTAATATACATTATTATGGAAAAAAAAATTTCGGACTTTATTTTATCTTCACAGTGAAAATGGATACCCAATGCTATTTTTGTGTGATAATTCTCGATTATATTTTTTACATTTTTAACTTTATAATGCTATAACTTTTTAAAAAATGTATGGATCAATACAATGTTTTCATAAGAAGTAGTATTTATAAACATTTTCATTCGACATACATTTTTTTTAAATCGAACCATTTCCCTATATACGAGGAGGGATTCAAATCTGAAAAATGCATATAGAAATACAACTTTTCCAACTTAACTTTTGAAATTTTTCTAGAAAGTCTGACATTTTTATATATATCTTAAATTAAAGCTAATGCAATAGTCTTTATTATGGAAAAAAAATTTCGTACTTTATTTTGTCTGCACGGTAAAAACAGACATCACAGTTAATAAAACAAAAACCCAGCACAGGGGAGTTGCGGCACAGTGGTGACGTGGCATAGTTGGATCAAGTATAATGATATCTGACAGTGATTAAATTTGGAATAATCAAATAATTTTTTAATATTAAACACTATCTACAGATTTGCATTGAAGCATTTTTTATGATGGTGATTATAATAACCCAACCAGCTGCTACACCACTGTACTGGGTTTTTATTACTTTATCTTTGTCATTATTGTTTTAAGTATAGTACCAGTAATAATTGTAATATAACATTTTCCAAGATCTGTAGTGAATGTGTGTCTATAAGTGTTATATATACATTAATTAAAATAACTACTAACAATTTTTGTTCTTTCTTTAAACGATCCAATTCAGAAGCCAAATAAAGTCTAATGTTAGGTACACGCGCTGGCCAATTTTTGAACTTACAAAGGCTCATGTTGTTAGTAGTTCTTATCATGGCTGGAGTTGCACAAGATATACAGGTCACGCCCCTAAACATAAATGCTATTTTAAGAAATAATAATATTAAAATAAAGCATTTAAGAATCTAATTCTTAAGAATATATCAATTAAAATTATTTTATCTTAGTAAATTTTTTAAATAAATTTACATTTATTAACATGAAAGTTCTTGGCACTATTACTATGTTGTACATACAATTTCAAAATTAATTGTTGATTATAATCAATATGATTTAGCAACGTTAAAAAGATATGTTATACTTTATATAAATCTTTACTTAATAAATTTAGCTACTCCAGATGCCTCTGGATCTTTCTCTATTAATTGTTTCACTTGTTTTTGTAGGACAACAATCTTACTGGAAAAATCTTTGCGAATATTTTCAAAATCAGCACCAATATTTTGGTTTATATTTTCAATAGTATCTAATAACTCAATTTTGACTTTACTTGACTAAATAATATTTACTTAGTACAATTAGTTTGATTATTTTTATTATAAATATTTATTACATGATCTAATCCAAATTTACGCATTTCTAAAAATTTGTCATCAATTTCATCCATAGCAGAATTAAAATCAAATACAGACATTTTACCATCGAATTCTTGAAGTGATGGAATACCAACAAAAGCATTCTCAAGATCAATTTGTTCTATTTTCCTTTGGTCTAAATGTTCTAGTTCCGTTCTAATAGACTACAATTTTCAAATTATTTCAGAGATTAAGATGCATGTCATAAAATTACAACGTACATAGTATTTTATAAGAAAATGATAAGTTATACAAATTTTAATAATGGATACGTCACTAACAAATGGGGTTTTTAAATAAGCATACCGGACATATTTAATATCACACTACAAAGAAGCAAACCTTTTACATACAACGAAAAAAATGCGACCGACAATTTTTTTATTATTAAATTAATTTTACTTTTCTTACTCTAACAAAATTTTTAATTTCTTGATAAATTTTTTTTTTTTTTTACAAACATTTTTGTTTAATTAACGAAAAATTGATATTATCTGTATTTTAGCAATATATATTTTTATTTTATTAAGATTTCTTCTTCTAAAATTTTTCAGTGTAGACATGTACATATGAGGACCTTTTTATTTTTAATTGTCGTAACACAGAACAAAACAGTAAGTAGTGTACGAAGAAGAAGATGAGGATACCTGCTGTCTAGGTATTCACGTGCGTGTTGTACAGCAGACACCGTGCTTGGCTGACACTCCGGAATAGCTGTGGGTGTCGAAAGGCTGTTGTTAAAGGAAGGGAATAAAGGTAACACCTAGGTATGAGGTGCAGACGAAGTGCAAGACACAAGAACTCTGAAATGTTGAGGAAGAGAGTAGATAGGTTAAAAAGGAAAAAACAAAGACTTTAGTTCAAGCAGAAAGCCGGACAGCGACAACCGAGTACTGAGACTGATAAATGACACAAGGCACTGGAGTCGACTGACCAAGATGGTCAGGTCTTTTGGATTTTTATAATAATTTGAACTATTGCCAATTTGGCAAAAAATATTATTTGTTAATTCATCAGTCTCAGGAAGCGGATGTGCTGTCTGTATTTTATTATAGTAATTATCACAATAATGGCAACGTAACACCATCACATAACGTAGAACTAAATTCACGAATTATACTACCAAATATCTGATATTAGGTTAAAACTAATCATGCTTACATCTATAACGATGTCATAACGATCAAGCTCTTTGGTCATATTTTTAACTGTTTCACTTAATGTAGAAAGCATTTTGTTCTCAGTCTGCAGACATAAAAGTAATTAAAATTGAAGTACTTAAGATGCTAAAGGTATAAATGATATTTCTTTAGTCTTGAAATTAGTAAAGTCAATAATTTACCAAATTTACTTTTAAAAATTTATTTCAATTTTTTTTCTTATAATTTTTAGTCCAAATGTCAAAATAATCCAAAATTTGTAAATAATTCACTTATACCTCTAGTATTCTAAATTTATTTTTTATTATTCGTTAATAAGACGATTTTGTACTTCTGTGCCGACGTTTAAATTAACCATATTAGTAGATGTGTTTGCATTTTCTTGCCAAGTTGATTTTTCCATAAATGTGGAAATGTTATGTTCAATTTTGTTGAGCCTAGTGAGTATTCGCTCTACATGTTTAGCCAACGTGGCTGGTTTATCACTATAAAAAAATTATACTGGATATTAAAAAATAACACATTTTTATTTTGCTAACATTTAAAACGATCATGTAATATTACGATTATTATTACATTATTCGGATAATAATATTTTATAATTTTGAGTCATACTTTTTCAAGATATATTTTTCAGGATTAGTTTTACTGAGTATAGAAATCTTGCTTGAAAACACACCTGAAAGTGACGGTTTTAAATACTCAGTTTGATCATCTATGTCTGAATTATTTAAGTCATTATCACTGATTACATTGATAACTGGAGGTTCCAAATGATTCTTTTCAGAAATTTCAGCTGTAATAAAATAAAATTGGACCTTTATTATAAAACAAACAAAAAGTAATCGAAATATTTTCAGCAAATAACTATAGGGTAACTAGTCAAGTAATTTAACATCCCTCATTAAGTGAAAACTATCGTATTACACGATTAACTTTTTAGCATCAAAGTCGAGTAAATTCGTTAAATTAAGCTGCTTTATTTAAATAGTAAAATTTATATCACTTATGTTGACATTAAAATATTTTATGAACAGCCAAAACTCCGTTCGATTACAGAGTCTCCTTTATCTTTTTAATTTAAATTCAAAAACAGTAAGTCTGTTTTTTATTTGATATTGCTAAAAGTTTTAAAATTTTGGAATTTATGAAATTACTAATATTATATCCAAATATTAGAAGTGAATTCAAATAATAAATATGTTATATATTTTGAAGTTCAATAAATCTTTAATTACTTGATAACTAAACGAGTTACCCTAATAATAAAATAAAAATTTAATATTTCAATTAGGTTATATGCGAGGTCTGGCTTTTAAATAACGAGGTTGGATACGAAAAAGAGTTTTATTATAAAAATTATTCTACATTCGAATGCTCCCTTCAATATACTCCCCCCCTCTCCACATACCTTTCATTTCACAAATTTTATCTTTGGAAACAAAAAAAAAATCGCACGGTGCTAAATCTGGCGAGTACGCGCGTGTTCGAGCACTGGAGTACGTTTATCGGCCAAATATTGCTTCACAGATAACGCGTTGTGGGCAGGTTCATTGTCCTGGTGCAAGATCCACAAGTTGTTATTCCGTATCTCGGGCCGTTTCTTACGAACCCGTTCTCACAGTGTTGCAAAAACTGAAAAATACAGTAGTCTGGTTAACAGTCTGACCCTCCGGAACTCATTCAGTCATCACGATACCGTTAATGTCGAAATAAACGATCAGCATTGCCTCGAATTTTGATTTGGACATCCTTGCTTTTTTGATTCTGGGCAATTCAGGCGTCTTCCAATGAATTGATTGCCGCTTTGTTACAACATCGTTTTGAAAAATTCATATTTCGTCGCAAGTAATAATATTTTCCATCAGTCTGGGATCGTCATCTAACCTTTCAAGGAAATTTGTGCAGACCTGTTGACGCATGAGCTTTTGGTCAGAAGTCAGGTTTTTTGGCACCATCTTTGCAAAGCTTTTGTCATGTTCTATTCCTCGTGTAAAATTTTTCTAACAGTTTCCTTATCGATGTTTACGGGCTCAGCAATCATCCGGATGCTCATTCGACGATCTGCACGCACATTTGGTTGATTTTGGTCACTGTTTCCAAAGTTAAAACAGTGACAGGGCGACCTAGGCGCTGATCATCTTTAGTTATCTCTCGGCCTTCACTGAAGCCCTTACACCATTCGAAAACACACGCATGTGATAGAGAATTGTCCCCATAGGCCTCTTTCATCAATTTATAGCACTCGGTTGGAGATTTTTTTAACTTAACAAGGAATTTGAGCTTAATATGTTGCTCGTGTTTTTCGTCACTCATGGTTTTCGGCACGAGAAAAAAACACGTTTGTTTCTAACCGCTACTGCACAAATACAATAATAGTGACAAAAACGTGTTTTGGTACGCAAATAGATAAGACTATTAGCTATCCAACGCACTACTAGTATTTTCCCCACCCCTACAGGATTTTCTAGGCGCGCAATCTTGTTATTTAATAGTCAGACCTCGTATTTAGTTGAAACGACCTGGCTTATAAACAATTGATGGATGAGAACGAACTCGAACTTTTCTTGATGTTTTCAATTGATCTGAACTTACTGTTTCATTAGAATTACTATCAGGATCTAAAAATTTTTTTACTCGTTTATAGCTTGTGTTTCATAGTAAAATAATTATAATAATAATAATAATAGGTATACTGAATATGCCAAGTTATATTATTATTATAAAATCAATCCTAAGCTTAGTAATTATAATTAATAAAAACTATAAAATAAAGTTTGGGCCGTATTTGGTTTTGGCAGACGAAAATTGTCAATGACCAAAAATTACTGTAAACTGTTATCACAGTTATGAATTCAATATAATTACTAGGATTCGAGAGTAAATTTATGAGGAGCTTAAAAAACATGAGCACCCTTAATTTTCATGTAATAATTTATTTTTACTGGAAATAGTGCTTAAAAAGAAACGTTGAGTAAAAATTAAAATCATTCTTAAGAAAAAAAAGTCATAAACACGCATTTGCTATACTTTTAAAATAATAAATAATAAGTGAGTTAATGGCTTGATTAGATATGTATTTTTTCGTATATGGAATACAAAACTCAATATTTAAATAAACAAATAAAAATAAATTTTATAAATNAAATAATAAATAATAAGTGAGTTAATGGCTTGATTAGATAATTTGTGCTTAGAAAAATATATTTGCTGTTTTCACAGAACATATCTATAACAGGAAAATTATACTTAAAGCTTTCTGTAAATTTTCAATTTTTATGGAAAGATTTTCCAGCTTCTCCATCATAGTGTCAATTTTATTTTTCTTGGGAATTGTTTTAGTTGAACGTTGTCTTAAAAATATATGATTTCGTTAAGTGTTTTCATAATTACATAATAAAATAATTCTTTATTATTACCGTGTTTTATCATTTTCCTAAATATAAATAATACGTTAATAACGTTGAAAGAAGACTGTAAAGTTTTGATAAAATATTGATCCTGTTAAATGTTTATTAGTTAAAAAAAACTAAGCTCATAATTATAAATTTAATGACTTCAGTCTTATCAACATTCTAAAAAATTAACTATACTTGTAATAAAATACTACCTCAACATGATTCATTTTAACGTTATAAGTTCCAACATCACTTGTCACAGTAAAGTCTGTAAAGTCATCGCTAGACAACTTGCCTGCTAACATAGCCTTGCCAAAAATCAATATTAATACAAACCAAAAGAGTTATGTACTAAATTTTTATTCTAAAAAATATGTACTTCAAATTGAGTGTTGTCGTAACCCTTAAAATGCAACCGCAGGTTTTCCATACCACCACTGTACACAATTGTCTTAAGTATTATTTTCAAAATTTGTGAATTAAAATTTACCTGAAATTAAAACTTTATTGACACATGTAGTATGTGTAGTATTTTAGTTTACAGTTTACATTTTTTTTAGCTTCAATGCGAAGCTTAGAAGGTATTAATTTTACTATGATATGTTTTTTATTTATGTCTGTCGCCACTTTATTCAGCTTTCACAGGACCAATTTTGATGAACAATAAGTCAAAAGATCACAAATCGTATGTAATTAAAACATTGCCTTTAAAAATTAAAAAAATTTCCTTTGTTTCTTGTAAATGGAGGAAATTCGCAAAACTTACAATTTTTAAAATCGATAAATTTTGACATTTTTTAAACTTTTTTTCTAAAAACTGCCATAACTTTTTGAAAAAATGTACGAAGGAAAATAATTTTATTATAATATTGAAGCCTTAGGTATTTCCCTTTTATTTGGTACAATTTTTTTGTAAATCTGACCATTTATTTGCCTGCAGAGGGAGATTCAAAATATCACCTTTTGCACACAAGTTAAACTTTTTCAACTTAACTTTTAAGTTAACACAATTTAACTAATTTATTTTCTCAGCTCTCACTTGACCAACTTTTTTTAATGATTATTTTGATTAGAATTGATATCATTAAGACGTTTAAAATCATTAACCAAAGATTAACGCGTAATCCAGTAATACGCACAAGATATATATATAAAGTATAGTTTTACAATAAACTATAAAAAAAAAACCACTCGTAAAAATGTGAACAAATTAATTTTATATTTCGCGAGTCGATTACGCTTGTCGTAATCGGCCGATTCTTTTTTAAAATATTAGTCAGCTAAATATATGAATAGGTAAAATGTAGTTTTACAAAGTCGCACACGAACACAAACTAAAAACAGAAGAAGTAACCAGTTTAGGTGTACGTCGGAAACGGAACAAAACGCATTATCAGTAGTACATGTTGACAGCAGCCTTGTCACGGTGTCAAGGGCAGGGAGACTTCCAATGACAACCGATTGATATATTAACATATTGATAGACAAAATCATATATTACTGTTATAGCAGTAATATTAAAATTTGACTATTCTAAAAATTTCATTACTGATATTGTAGTAATATTTTCAATGATTTCTTATGAAGGAGGAAGTTGTTCTGACCCCATGCATTTCATAAAACCAGTGTTTGTAAAATACCATGTCATTAACTGTCCCTTAACGTGTTAATAGGTGGCCGGCTGATATCGAGAGAGACACGGATAAACGCCAGCCTAGAGCGTAGCGCGATGCCATGTCACGATTTAGGTTTAAAATTGATGGTAAAAAAACTTACGCCAGAAGTTCCATCCCCAAAATCTATTAATTGAATTAAATCTATTTTTACTGTCATTTTCTCTTGACTAATGATTAAATGATCCTATAATTATTTTTTAATGATTTATAATAATTTTTATTAGATAATTTATAAATACAGTTACTATGACAACTATCAATGTCCAAAGAAAAATTAAACTATTATCAAAAATAACTTGTATAATTCTCTATTAATCGATACATTATTAAACTTTTAAATATTTTTCTTCTGATCAAATTAATTTTACATAATAATTGAAATGAGATATTTATGCTTACGCTATTTATTTGTATAAATACAAATCATTTTTCTCTAGATTTGGTAGGTTTTAAAATATGTAAAATGCTTAAAAAAATAACGCTTTAATATATTTTAAATTCGAATAATCTCTGACATATACAAGATAGTCTCTATCTTGTATATCTTGTATATTTTAACATTATAAGTTCCAGCATCATTTGTCTCAGTAAAGTCTGAAACGTCTAAGTTCTTATTGTACAACTTACCTGCTAACGTAGCCTTACTAAAAATTAATCATAATACAAACCAAAAGAGATATATACTACATTTTTGAAGTGAAACTTCTTTACAGAGGGTCAAAAAAAAAACAGTTTATCGAGCGTCAATAGCAAATTTTTAATTTTTTTTATCAAATTATTTTAATATAATCATTATGAAGAGAGATATTTATGCTTAGCCTATTTTTTCTATAAATACAAATCTTATTAATTTGGTACATTTTAAAATAAGTAAAATGTTTAAAAAAAATATTGCGTTAATATATTTTAAATTCGAATACTCTCTGACATATACAAGATAGAGACTTTTTAAACATTACAAACCAATGTTCTCTAAATTTGGTACGTAATAAAATAAATAGGTATTTGATAGACATTTTTAAACATTACAAAACAGTGTTGACGTTAGTTATATAAAATCTTTTTTCATAAATGATAGACCTACTTTTAGTGTATTGGCTCACATTTCATTTTTTTTTTTAAATAAAAATCCGTTTACATAAAATCGATACTACACTGAAAAAATTATCCAAAAATTCCCAAACTTTCTGCAAACACGTTAATTTTATACACAAGTAGTGTATTTTAACATAAAGTATTGAAAATTCATAATAAAATATACTATTTTCATTACTATTAACCATCATTTTCTCTTACAACGTGTGCGTTAAAATTTTCTATTACAAGTATATGAAAATTAGAACATATTTTTTCAGTGTAGTCAAGTGATAAACATTGATATGATTGTGCTATTTAATTATACATAAAAACAGAATATGTTTTGCACAAAGTAAACTAAATTAAGTACGACTTTAACTTTCATAGAAAATAGTCTTACTTAATTTCTTATTAGTAATAAATAATTATTGTTCTTGTGAAAAGTTATAGTAAACTTATAAGGTATTACTATCATTGTTAATTCTAATTTCTTATAAATTTTTACTTTGAGTCTTAATTATTTCTATAAAAATAAGTATAAATAAGGTGAAATTTATTTGTTTATGTATATTTCCGTATTAAATACATAAACAATAGATATTTTTCTTTTTATGATTAAATTTTAAATATTGAATTTAGGATTAAGTTTTCTTTTAATGTTTTGACCGGAATCTTAAAATGGTAGACTAGATTTTAGTCGAACTACAATATTTTTTTGTCTGATTATTATAATATTATTATATTGATAAGTATACTTATCAAGTTTACACTATAAATTTATTCATCGTTTTCACATTTTTATAAGTAAATCTTTGAACAAGGTTTTATCAAAAAACTGGGTTGTGTTTATAGATACTCCATGCCAATACTTTTTCTCTTCAAACATATTAGTGATACGTTTGAGATTATGAATTTTCTAATAATAATTATAGAATTCTTGTTTCTAAAAACGTATTGATAACCTCGAATTATTTTCGCTTCTTGTGCAGTACAATAAACAATTATTTTTTGATTACACACTTATATATATATAAGAAAAAGTTCATTAAGGTAATACTTATAGGTATATCAAATAAACATTTATTTAATATACATTCATTAGTTCATTAATGTCATACACTATAGTTAAAACTATAAAATTCTATTTTCTAAAAATTTTTTACGAATCCACTTCAAATGACTTCTCAAATCGGTGAATAAAGCGATTGAATTATTGGAATCTGGATCAAAATTACTTACAATTCCTGTTAAATAATATTTATCGTCATGTATGAACGATAAACCAGATCCGCTATCTCCTTGTTGCACTCCTGGATCTGACACTGAAACATAATATTTCATTATTATACATCATGAATTATATTTATATCTCATAAGCAATATTGGCTCCATTTTCATAAAAAAACAGATGATCATTCTATCATATTAGAAATAAATGAAAACTATATAACAATTTACCATTAGTTGAACCAGCACAAATTTTATCGCTAGTTATAGGAAAATCTTTTCTCAATAATTTTCGGCAAGTCGAAAAATCAATAAATGGTAATTTAGCTGTTAATAATGTCTCACTAAATATCTCTTTGTATTTATCTATTTTTCCCCATCCTGCAACCTAAAAAAAAGATAAAGACAGTTACGTAATTAGAGGTATTAAAATATATTAATGAAATAATAAATGCTATTATAAAATATGTTTAGACCTTTTCAGAACGGTTTAATACACTTTCTAATACTTGCATAATAAACATCAAAATATAAAATAGATTTACGACATTATTACAAATTTTCTATGTTTATAAATTTTAACAAAAACACATTTTGCGTTGACCACTTCACTGTATATCGTATAAAGACATTTATTTATTTCAAATTTTAAATTAGGAGGATCAATTATAGGCAATATTATAATATCATTAGTTTTCCTAAATTATCATTGCTTAAGCAATTCTATTAATTAATTTTAGATAATTCTTGTAATATTCTAATTATTTATTTAATATACGTAGTAAAATGATTTCTTTAAACTCTTTTCTTTGATATATTTATTATAAATGACTTATCAATAAAATTCTACGACCTTCCCTCGTCAAATTTACTATAGAAATGTTTGTAGTTAATTAAATGCTACACCAATACCAGTTTTTATAAATATATTAAATATTTACCAATCCTAAATTCCCGTTGACTTCTGAATGTTCTTCATTCCAATCAATGCAAACTATGGAAACAGCTGGACTGATATTTATGGGATCAGATAATACAACAATAGCTATATCATCAGTGTACAATGAATTCTTTCCTTCATACTTGTCTGCTATTTGAATTATTTTAATCTAAAATACGAAAATTTTAAAGTTTTTATCAAAATTGTCCAACTTAAAGTTAATTAAAAATAATCTTACATTGTACATTTTAGCATACTGGGTATCATTTTTAGAATCATAATTTCTGTAATACTTTCCAACATATATTTGAAAATCGTTATTATCTTCTCTGTTATCTGCATTATCATAAAAACAATGAGCAGCTAAAACAGAAATAATGCTTCTATAATTTTTCTTTGTTAATGGAAATCAGTTCATTAAAACAAAAAAATAAATTTTTATATTTTACCAGACAAAACTAAATTTCGAGCAATTAGTGATCCACCACAAATGTGGTTGTAAGAGTTGTTATCTTTTTGATAAATACCGACATTCCAAGGAACTTCACTATATTTAGATAATTTTCCATTTGAAATTAATTTTTGACTTTGAGCATATATTTTACCACACTCTAAAAATAAGCTTTATATAATTATATATTTATATCATATATTTATAATACTCTGGAGTATTTGATTTAATTTATTTTTACAATAGAAAAACTTTTTTAATAACTCAAATATTTTAGCTTCAATGCGAAACTGAGAAAGTATTAATTTTACCATTCTTTATTTTATTTTTTTGTGTCTGTCGCGACTTTTTCTCAGCTCTCACTGAACCGATTTTTCTCAATGATACGTCAAAAGATCACAAATCGTATCTATTTGAAGACATTACCCTTAAAAATTGAAATATATATCAAAGATCTCATCACTGTAGTCTCCCCTGATGAGAAGTAATTTCTTATTCATTAAAATATAATTTTACTATGTGTTTGTTTTTTTGTGGCTGCGATTTATTTTTCCAACCCTTAATTAACCTACTTTTTCAACGATATGTCAAATGGTTATAATTCGTATTTAGTTGAAGATATTACCCTCAAAAATTGTAAAAAAATCCCTTCAATCAAATAAAAAGTACCTTAAATAGATTTATTCACACAAACAATGAAAATGATTAATTTCTAATATTTTTAATGTATTTATTGACTTGATATGATAAACGTATTCAACTGCAAAAGTAAATTATTTTACTTCGTAATTTATTAATTTTTTAACTCTATTTTTGTGTATTACTAACAATCTATAATATTCTAAATTTGTTGGTAACATGTTGCTATATAAAACACAAATCTAAAAAAATAAAATGATTTTTAGTTTCACCTGAATTTAACAATCGATTTTTAATAATTCAGTTCTGTATATTTCAATTATAGAATCTTTTTAAACACCAAAAGTTAATCAGTTAAAAAGTTAAGAAGTAAAAGTGATCTATTACAATGAAAATGCAAATAAAATAGAGCTTTTTAAATAAATTTACTGTAAATAGTAATTATAAAATTTGCTGACTGCATATTAATGTTAACAATTTCATTTTTTTTCTATTTAATGATATCAATTTCAATCTTATAAGTCGAGCTAAAAGTTATGGTAATAAATTCATTTTTCTTTTTTTAATATAAATTTTCACTTTAAAGGACGAAAAGAAGTAGATTAAAAATTATTACTTTAACATCAATAATAATTTGAAAAGAATTAATTATAAAAATTATATAATATAAAATTAAAAATATTTTGCTTTTGTAATTATCCATCAATTTCTTAGAATTAAACACTGTAGATAGTGTTTAATTCTAAGATTTGCATCGAAGCGTTTCTTATGATAGTGATTTTAATCACTGTTAGATTAAATCTATACTGGACCCAACTATGCTACGTCACCACTGTGCCGCGATCCCCCTGTGCTGGGTATCTTTTATATTCAAAATGATTTATGCAATCATATTTCTGGCTAAGTGAGGCTTGTTTATTTAAGCATATATAATAAGTTATTATAAATGATATTATTAATTTAAAATTAATAAAGACAGTTATTATTAATAACTGTCTTTATTGTAGTTGTCACTATATTCACCGTATATATAGATGTTCTAATCGTATTTTCTTTTCGTCAACCTTCGCAATCTTAGAAATTTAAGTGAGTATAATTACCAAACTCATGTTTAAATCTTATTTAATGCGTTGGGAACGAATATAAAGAATCCATATAAAAATCATACAATTAGTTATAATACTACTTGTCTGCTACAAAAATTTATAACCTTAGTATCACTGATTCAGACTAAATCTAAAACTTATATTAGCTTCGATGCGAAGCTGAGAAGGTATTGGTTTTACTAAGATGTGTTTTTTTTTTTTTTTTGTGTCTGTTACCACTTTTTCTCAGCTCTCACCGAACCGATTTCNAAAATTATTTGTGTCTGTTACCACTTTTTCTCAGCTCTCACCGAACCGATTTCTTTCAATGATACGTCAAAAGATCATAAATTGTATCTAGTCGAAGACATTACTCTTAAAAATTGAAAAAAATTCCCTCGTTCCCCGTAAATGGGGGAAACCTCCAAAAAAATTACAAATTTAAAAATCGCTAATTTTCGAAATTTTTTCAATTTTTTTTACTTAAAAGTGCCATAACTTTTTCAAAAATGAACATATCAATATAATTCTTTTTTATATAGATGCATAATATCATTACCTTTCATTTGGTATATTTTTTTCATAAATTTAACCCTTAACCTGCCCACAAGGGGGGATTTAAAATGACAACTTTTTCACAAAAAATTAATTTTTTTAACTTAAATTTTGAAAATGTTCCGGAAGGTCTGACACTTTTATATATATCTTAAATTAAAGCTAATGTAATATGCTTTATCATGAAAAAAAAAAATTTCGGACTTTATCTTATCTTCATGGTGAAAATGGCTACCGAATGCTATTTTTGTGTGAAAATTTTCGATTTTGTATTTTCCATTTTTAACTTTATTATGCTATAACTTTTTGAAAAATGTATGAATCATTACAATTTTTTTATGAGAAGTAGTATTTATATAGATCTTTCATTCGACATACTGTTTTTTTAAATCGGACCATTTCCCTAAATACAGGGGGGATTCAAAACATAAAAATGCATATAGAAAGTAGAACTTTTTCAACGTAACTTTTGAAAGTGTTCCGGAAGGTCTGACACTTTTATATATATCTTAAATTAAAGCTAATGTAATATACTTTATAATGGTAAAAAAAAATTTCGGACTTTATTTTATCTTCATGGTGAAAACAGACATTAAACTTAATAAAAAAAATACGATTTTTGTAAAAAAATTCTTTTTTATATTTTTAACTTTATAATGCTATAACTTCTCGAAAGATGTATGGATCAATATAATTCTTTTTTTTGTAGATGCATGATGTCTTTACCTATCATTTGGTATATTTTTTTTATAAATCTGACTTTTTACCTGCCTACAGGGGGGGATTCAAAATGACAACTTTTTCACAAAAAATTGACTTTTTCAACTTAAATTTTGAAAGTGTTCCGGAAAGTCTGACACTTTTATATATATCTTAAATTAAAGCTAATGTAATATACTTTATCATGGAAAAAAAAAATTTCGGACTTTATTTTATCTTCAAGGTGAAAATGGCTACCAAATGCTATTATTGTGTGAAAATTCTCAATTTTATTTTTTACATTTTTAACATTATAATGCTATAACTTATTGAAAAGTGTATTGATCAATATAATTTTTTTATGGGAAATACTATTTTCTAATAATCTCTTTTTTATTCTACATACTTTGTCTTAATCAGGATATTAATAAGGAACTAGCAGTTTATGAAGCTTTTGGAATAATCCACCAATTTTTTAAAATTAAACACTATCTAAAGATTTGCATCGAAGCGTTTTTTTTTGATAGTGATTTTAATCACTGTCAGATATCATTATACTTGATCCATCTATGCCACGTCACCACTGTGCCGCGACCCCCCTGTGCTGGGTTTTTTTACTTAAAATTGCCATAACTTTTTTAAAAATGACCGAATCAATATAATTTTTTTTTTTTAGAGATACCTTAGATAATTACCTATCATTTTAATAATAAAATTATAAAAAATTAAAGTATAATAGGTATCCAGTATTGGAGTTGAGACATTTTTAGATTAGTTAATTGCTATCTGACCGTGATTAAAATCACTGCCATAAAATACATTGATACGCATTTGAAACATATTAAAAAAATTAACATTTCCATAAAAAATTACGTCTTTTGACTTTATAGTTTAATACACCTAATGAATAAGTTACCAGAAGGTTTTTCTTGTTTTTTATCATATATTAATGTGGTCATCATCAGCGTTTAACACATATTTCGTTAAACTGAATAAAACTTGACTTTAATTTCTTAAAGCTGATATAAATGTTTTTTATTTTATACAAATTTCGAGATGTCTTTTTAACATAAATTTTAATATAATCAAATGCCATAAACCTACTTAGAACACATTCGTTTAATTTACCACTCCACTGGCCATCTTTTCCACACAAAAGTTCACTGGGAACATCATCATCATTTCGAGAACGATGGGTTGATTTACATGAAGGTATCAGTGAAGTTCCTTGACGTAATGGTTTTGAACAATTAACAGAATCATCATTAATTCTACACTCGAAGTTTAAGGTTTTTGAGATCAAAGGTGGACAATTTTCTGAAATTAATAGTTAAGGATGTAGAGAAATATTTTGTTAATTTACATTTTAAAGTAAAAAACTTCAAAATTTAAATTAAATAATTAATTCAATCAATTTTGTTTTAGTATAACCGTTTGTATTAAATGGCCATTTAACTCACTTAAACAAAACTCATCATGAAAATCTGGATGCCAATTTCCTTTTCTACACGTCAAAAACCTGTGTGGTGTAATACTTGAATAACCAGACTTACAAATTTCTTGAATTTGATTGGTTTCGTACAATTTTGTATTGAGTGTTATAGGTTTTGATATCAATTTTATATCTGAATCATCTAAATATAAGAAATCACTTCCTTCTTTGTTAAATATTGTACATGTCTTTCTAAAAATAAAAATCTCTTAAATTATTTGGTTGCATTAAATTTTTTATATTATATAAAAACTAAAAATAGCTTTCGCATCTTTGAATTATAAAAAAATTAAAGTAACTGTTGAATACAAAAACTATTAAATTTACACAGAATCTAATTGTAATACGGTAGGTTTTACTGGACTAGATGTAAAGGTATGTGTAGGCTTTTCAGTCACAATTGAAGTTGTAATTCGATCACATTTGATTTCGTCTGAACCATCAGCACAATTTTTATGACCATCGCATTTATGATCTTTGGGTATACATGCACCATAGTTACACGTGAAAGAATAGCTCTCACATCTTTAAATTATAAAAAATTATTAAAGGAACTGTAATTGAATATATTGCAGTTAAACGTTAACAAAAATGAATAACTTATTTAATTACCTAACATTTTCACAACTTTTTCGAGTCTCATCAGTTCCATCTTGGCAATCTGCTGTACCATCGCATACAAAAAAACTGTCAATGCATTCACCAGAATCACATTGAAATTGTTTCGATCTAATAAATGAAACTTTTTTCAAATAAATGGAAATTATAAATAATAGTCTAAAATTCTAGCACCATTAGCTTTTTTAATATTACATAATACTTTAATGTTAATTTTTTTTAAAGAGACCGAACCTCTTTTATATACTCTTGTCACAAAAATACACAAAATTCTAGTTATTTAAATTCTCCTATAGTTATTCCCATATATTCTAGTTCTTTAGCTAACTTTAGTTAAATCGCTAATGTATAGTAAAGTTTTAAATTAGCTGTGTAATTTTCTCCATACGCGTGTAACAAATTTATTAAAAAATGATCAATACAAATGATTTATGTAATAATTATTATAATACACCATTATTAAAGAATTAATTAATACTAACTGGCATTCCGTTAAAACTTTGTTAGTTGTAACCTGAATTGTTGGGTTAGTTGTGTTTTGAAACTTTGTTTGATAACATGTAGTATTGTTTTCATCGGATTTATCGATGCAATCAAAATTGCCATCACATAAAACACTTTTACTCACACATGCTCCGTATAAGCAGCGAAACGCAAAACCAGGGCATCTACAATTTTCACAAATAAATAAAAAGTAATAACTTATGTATTCAAAATATTTTCCATTGTTCTATGTTTTATTACGATTTAGAACGTGACGAGCAAAGACTTTCAGTCTCGTCTGAATTATCGGAACAATCAGCTTTTCCATCACAAGTAAATATAAAATCTATACAATCGCCATTTGAACACTCATATGTTTCTCTAAAACAAAATAAAATTTAAAAAAAAAAAACTCAAGATTTGAAACCCAACATTCTACTTTATACATAGAATAAATCGAGGAATAACGCAAAGGTGTATTAGCCTTAACAGAATACCACTTTTAAGGGACTAAAATCAAAGTTGCCACTTTCTAAAAATATTTTTATGTATCAAATATTATTTATTTAATTTTTGGTGGGAGTCTATTCCTTCCAGTATACCTATAAGTATATATATTCACAATATTAAAAATAATAATAATACTATACAGCATCTTAGGCTTTCTGTGTTAATTTATTAATAAATCTTTTAATTTTTAATTAATTTCCGTGAATTTTTTCTATTATTTCTTTTTAGTTTTTTCATGTTAATCATCATGAATACTAATAAAAACCTCCTCATGTCACTACTTAAAAATACTCTTCGTGGTAATATTTATGGATAGATTGGTCATATTTAAAAAAACAATTTTTTAAATAAATCTATTATAAAGCAAGGGTAATTAAATTTTGAATTTAAATTAAAAAGGTTTTAACTTTTTGATTCGTAAATTATAAGTTATGTAATAAATTAATACATATGAAACTATAATAGCTCATAATAACAATAAACATTATTATTAATTTAAATAAAATTTTTGACTCACTTCAATAGTGTCCTTTCAAATTACTTTACACGTTAATACTTGTAGTGCCGGTTCGTATACTTCATTTACATATAGCACCTTAGTGCATAGTTGACCCTTTTAAAACTTTAGTCATACTTTTAAAAGGATTTTAGTGCCTCCTTGATGTCTACGGCACCATAGACATCAAGAGCAGTCGCCCGCCTAGTCACCTTACTCTTTCGCCAAACCTCAGTCTCGTTATATAGTTATACAACGAAATTTTATTCTAGTTGCACAACTGGTAAAATGATAATTTAATCAGTTGCGCAACTGGAATATAATTTTTGAGTATTAAAATATATTTTACTCACTTTATATATAATTTTAAGTTACTATAAATATAATTATCTAAATTTTTCAAAGAACTAAATCCTCAAATTAGGAACTTAGTTCCTTTATAAGAAAACTGAGCATATATTTTTTTATATACTATAAAAGAGTTTAAAAAACATTATTTTAATAAAAAATCGGCATTAAAACGTTTTTGTTTAACGCAAACGCTGATCTCTAATACATTCTTTCATGTGTTTTAAAACGTTTTTGCAACGCTGTTTATGCATTAATTAAAACATTTCCTTGTTATTAGGGTAATTTTATCTGTGTCTAAATATAAAATAAATTAAATAAGCATATAGTTACCTACATAGGACATGTATTCCTAATTTGCTTTCTACTTTCTGATAGATAAGCGCCAATAATATTTTTTATTAATAAATCTAAAAAAAACTTTTAGTTATCAAAAAAGTATACCTAAAACATCTATAACAATAAATTATTTTTTTTGAACATACCTAAAATTAAAAGCACATAAAAAGAATGTCTATTATATATAAATAGCATTGTCATTTACCAAATATTTGAAAATTAAACTTCTCTGTTTTATTATTAAGAATAAAGTATTTGAATTTTAATGGTTTTACTGTATATGTACGTTTTTCTTTCAACAAATTTTATCAATATTAATGTTATTAGATTTTTCATTAAAATATTTATTTTCAACTGTGATAACGTCTTACGCAAGAACTCGCACTAATAAATTATGAAACATAATGAAAGATAAATACATTACATCTATTTTAAGTATTTATGTGTAAACACTCTGACCAAAGAGCAATATTAAAAAATTAATTATAGTTAGTATATATTTTGCTACAACTAGTTTTTCAAGGTTTCCAGCAAACTGTAATCTAATCATATTTGACTGTTCTTTGCACATTTGTGAAAAATGTGTTATGTGTAGAATCTATACTGTAGATGATACTTGATTTATTTATTCTATGTTTAATATATTCTCATAAGCGCAATTTTAACAAACATTTTTCAAAGGACTTATTACATCTAACGTCCCTTTCTAAAATGTAATTTTATTTAATTATATACAGAATGATTGATTAATTGTTGATCTCTAAATTTCTTCTAAAATAATAATTTTGAAAAAAATTGTTGGCAATAATAAGTAGTATTTATTTTTCAAACTTAAAACGATTGAATATTATTTATGTCCATCTCTCCTTTATAAGGGTACCAACTTTTTGTCGTTTAATGGGAATATATATTTAATTAGTTCATATAATAGAAAACGATCCAACTAATGATTTAAATTCGGCAACAAATTGACTATGGCCATTTATTGGATCCAAGGATTAAAAGTATATACTTAATACTTTAACGACATGTTAATATATAAATTTAATAAACAATAAATAATATAATTAAGAACAATTCTATGTTCAAAGAAATCAAAAAGATAATTTTAACCGAACTGCTATGGGCGAAGTGGTATTGGTAAATAAACGGAAGTCGACACAATCAATTAAAAATCAACGTAGAGTCGTTTATTCTTACACAAACAAGACTAAATAGCAATAGCGGCTCGTGGCTTGGACGACGGGACGATCGCACCCTCTACTAAAATTAATTAAAAGAAGAAAATTAATTGTATACTCTTAATTCTACAATATTTTGAAACATATATAATGAACGAGGCGACCAATCGTGTGCGTGCGGGTACGGTTAAACTGTAATCTTATGTACGGGTTTTGGACGACCGGCAACGTCATCCATATAGTAAAATATTAGTATATTACTATATTGGGTAATTTATTTTTAGAATTAACTACGTGTACGCTCGTCGTTATCGGTTGCTATAATAGTACATAATCGCTATTAATATTATTTTCTACTGCGACCTTTAATAATATGTGTATTGTGTTTTATTTTGTTATAATTAATTTGACAATTTTTTACACCTATAACTAGCGGTATTATATTTAAAGTCGCACCCACGAGCCGCTAAATAGCATTTACAAATAACATTGTACAATATTTAGGGATGAAAAGAGTTGCACAGCATAAATTAAAATGCGCCGACGTTGAACTATGGGGGCAGTTCGCTGTCCGTATCAGGCGGTGACACGAAGATGACTTCAACGCATATTTGCGGCCGGACAGGCAGCACTTGCTGGACTTTATACCGTACGGTACGCGGAGTTAGTCAGTCAAACTATCACACACACGTATAGAGCAACGGCTATTAAAGGTGGCACAGATCCGTGTAACATGAAGCGACACAGGACCGTTTCATGACCGAGTACGTTACTAGAGGTTCAATTTGGTCTATAGAATTTATTTGAAAATCTACTAATACAGCTAATAATAAAAAGAAATGTGTATTAAAACAAAATAAAAGGACGTTGCTTTACTAAGTTTACCGCCTTCTTCAGAAGCGCCACAGCCCTCATTTAGTTCTTACTCAATTATACATACGGCTGTGGTCGTATTTTGTCGTCTTGCTGTAAAATTTACCTCAATAAAACACAATTCAAAAATATAACAAGAGTATGGGCAAAATAATGATCAAAATAACAAAAATATAGATTTAAAAAAATATCCTAAACCAACGTCTGCAATATAAAAAAATAAAAAACGAAATAAGTCACCCTAGTGATTCTGAAAATGGAGTGTTCAAGTATTTCGGGAACTACTACGAATAATGAGAATAAGTGGAACTGAACTGTTCCACTAAAGTAGATCAATTAGATATTTTAAATTTTGACAATAGCATTTCATGGTGAACACTGATGAAAAATCTTGAAACCTCGGATCTTCTCATATAATTCAAGTGTCTTAAATATAAACTAGAAGTAATTTTTTTTATTTTATCGAATATATTTAAGTTTTTAGTTTCCCACATTTTATTTACATTTAATCTTTATTGAACAGGGCTGTGAATTATATGTATTTATTAATTTTTTTTAAAGGGTCCCAAGTTTTTACAACTTTATCATAGAGTTATATAATAACGTCGAAATATTTTTCGTTTTAATGAAAATTTACCCCCAAAACTAACGTCGAAGAAAACATATTACTAAGTTTTTAGGTCAATCAATAAAAGTCTGAAACATTCAGTGTAGTAAACTAACAAAATACTTGAATTTATTTTATTTATCTAATTATTATTATTTATAAAATATATTTTGTTAGCCGGTATTATCCGAGCATTCTTTCTACTACTCTAGTTTATCATATCGAATTGCGATCGAGGAAGTAGCCATTTTAAATTGTTTGGACATATCTTGACCCATTGTTTAATAAGATAGATAAAGTTATTTTTGTAAACAATTATTGTGGTAACAATTTTTTCAGTTTTTCCTTGTATTCAATTACGCGACAAGGCGACTTTGGCTAAATAAAAATTTATATAGTTAAAATAAATAAATTAATTTTAATAGCTCTAAAAGAAAAAGAAAACGGAACCAATTACATTGTCAATTTTATATTTAGTTTCATAATAATTGTGCATTACCTAATTTTGCACTTGATATTTATACAAAAATTAAAAAAAATTCAAGTATAGGCCCAATTATTTTTATGAAATAATTTATTATTAACTGATACTAAAAATTTGAGTTATATTTCTCGATATTAATTAGTATCTATTTAAGTTATACAGTAACTATTTAGCTAAATCATATTACTATATTAGTTTTTAAATAATACATTTTTTTTAGTTTTTGTAATAAAAGGGACATGTGTTTGTAATATCATTGACAACACAAACATGAACATTATATAACTTACTATTTTTGAAAATAATTTATTATATGCTACTTAAAATATAACATAATTTTATCGCCATAAATAATATACATGTAATGAATGACAACATAATTTATAATTATAAAAATATATTAAAACACTTATTTCATAGAATATTAAGTATAAATTACAATAAAAACTGAATAGTAATAATAACAATACAGAACTTAAATGTCTTTGGGAACATATATATATATATATATATAATATGCAAAATTATATTAAATATTTATAAATATATGTTATAAAACTATAATTTAATATACATATTTTTCAATAGATTGACACTTTTGAATCTTTATTTTTTTGTTTTGTTTTGATAGATTATCAAATAAAATAAAATCGATAATTCAAATAAAAAAAAAAAACTAATACATAAGACATTATAATGTGATACAAATGATACAAATTTTGGTATATATGCTGCATCAAGTTAACATCAACAAAACAAGTCATTCTATAGGCAAGACATTACTAACTTCTTTACGATAATACTTCAACATTTAAAGAAGTTTTTTTTTCTTCACTGTTTATTATTTCAAGGCTAGTTTTTAAAATATCTATTTGATGCTATAAATAAATAAAATATGCTTAATTTTATGGCTATATTTATTAATAGTTATAAATTTTAAATTGGTTTCAATAATAATAGTAATAATAATTCACTTTTATATATTATTTTATACCTGAGCATGTTTAATTTCCCATTCAGCAAGCTCTAATAAATTTTTATTAAATGTAGACACTCTTCTAGCTTTGAAATCAATTAATTCTAAAACAATTTATAAAATTACTAAAATTTTATATTTTTAATAGAAATAGCATTTTTATGCTGAAAATACCTTCTTTTCCTTTATCAGACATCACTTCAAATTTCTCACAGGATAATTGTTGTGCTGTTTCAGCCTGTTTACAAATTTATTTAAATAAATAAATAATAAAAAATTAAGAAAGTGAACTTCCTCTACCTGGAAGTTTAGGATATGGGTAACCACCCCAAGTAGTTAAGATAAAGACAAAAAAAAAAGAAGATAATAAAAAATAAACAGTCGGGATGAAGCAAAGTAGAATTAAGGTATTTTTTTTCTTTAGTATTGATTGATATTGATTAATATCACTATTGTAAAATGATTTGATACTTATTTGAAACAAATAAAAAAAAATAAATGGTCCGATTTACAAAAAAATTAACCAAATAAAAGGGAAATTATTAAATTATGGCACTTTTAAGTATCAATATATTAACACTTTAGTAAAAGGCAAATATTTAAGGTTTCAATATAAAATATAATTATTTTGATTTGTTCATTTTTTCACAAAGTTATGGCAGTTCTCAGAAAAAAAAGTTTAAAAAATGTCAACATTTATCGATTTTAAAAATTGTAAGTTTTTGGGAATTTCCCCCATTTACAAGAAACGAGGAAAATTTTCAATTTTTGAGGGTAATATCTTCAACTAGATTTGTGGTCTTTTGACGTATCATTGAAAGAAATCCGTTTGGTGAGAGCTGAGAAAAAGTGGCAACAAAAAAAAACACATTATAGTAAAACCAATACCTTCTCAGCTTTACATCGAAACTAAAATCTATCATATCCAAAAAGTTTACATGATTAATGACTTTAAAAACAGATTACTCATGGAAGACAAGTTGTTGGAACGTATTTCTTTTATTTATCATATAGTACATTAAGTAAGCTACAACATGAATTAGTCTTAAATGATTAAGATAATCTGTTGCTATGTGAACATTTCAAAATCAACATTTTTTAAAAAATTATATGATTTTAGAACTAATTAGCCAATAATTTCTAGAAATCTAGTTTTCTTTATTTTTCTTAACTTTTAAAATACATTGTAGTAACTTTATTTTATTGTATGTTTTAAGGTGATTTTTTAAAAATATTATCAAAAATTGAAAAGTAAAAAATCTTGACAAGATTTTTAGTATCTTTTACTAAAATACCTAAGTACCTTGGTCAATGATTGGATTTTAAAAAATATCATCAACAAGTTTTAGAAGTATTATCATAAAAATTCTGCAATAACCTGTCTAGTTATCAAACAATTATATCAATATAAAGTGAAAACTAAAAATATCAACTTAGACTTTTTTAAGACAATTTTTTGGGTCAATTTCCTTTATTACTAAATTAAGGGAAATTTTTGGAAATTATGGTGCTGATAGCTTTAACTAGATATGTTTTGCAATCTTTGATGTATTATTAAGCTAAATTGGTCTAATAGAGTTAATAAAGTATAGTGAAAAAAAAACACAGCAAAGTAAAATCAATAACTTCTCAACTACGCATCAAAGCTAAAATACAAAAATTTTAAAATAATATATAATTCAAAATCTATTTTAAAATATATCCCAGTTCAAATACATGCCATCAATTTCAATCTCAATTGCCATTTATACAGTTAATATTACAAATATAAAGAATCTTTTTTTTATACTGATAAAAATATACAACGCATGTTAGCTACATGCAATTATTACATTTTGCTTATAAATTCATATTTTAAATTCAGTGATTTAAATACAACATTTATAACATATGAGATTTTTTGATACTAAATATTTATACTGAAACTACTAAGTACACACGCCTAATTGTTTAGCATACATATTTATTTTAATGCTATTACTTACATCAATTATTTCTTGAGCCTTAGACAAAAATTATGGTGGAAAATAATAAATATTTAGTAAACTTAAATGAAATATTTTAAAATTTAAATAATAGACTTACAGCATGAACATCTCTATTTTTTGCTCTTGCTTTTTCTAAATTACGATTTGCTGCTTCATAATTAGCTAAACACCGTAGTCGCCTATATAAAAGTCTTTTAGCAGCAAATGAATCACCGACATAATACCGTAAAGTATCTGAAAGTTTAAGGTCTTCGTCAGATGCTACTCGTCCTTCAACCTTCTATAAATAAAATATAAAAATTAAAAGATTATTTCTTTTTTTTTTCATTCAATAACAAACACTTAAAGCCAGATTTTTAACAAATTTAAACATTGAAATGTTGCAAGAGACCAAGATGGCTGATAACCTTGTATATTTTTATACTTAGATAAAATATTTTCTAAAATTGTTTGTCACAAATTTATTTCAACTAACATGGAGCACTTTAGTAATACAAAGAAAAAATGTCTACTATTTATAAATAAATCCGCCACTTATTAATCTTAATAAATTAATAAATTACCCTTAATTTTTCTAATGTTTCAGAAAATCTATTTAAAAACCAATCCAGTTCTCTATGATCAAAAGTAGATAATTGAACCAAATATGATGATATCTTAATATAAGAATCAGCAACATCTAGAAAAAAATTTTTTATAAATATGTTTTAAACTATAAGTACATTGAAATTATAAATAAAATAATAATAATTAATATTTATTTGGGCATCAAAAGGTTTTGTACTTTACTCTCTACTTCCCACAGAAAGCACAAATAATTTACTTATTGATTTATTTTCTTGAAATATATTCAATTGGTAATCAAAGAGACTGCACAGTAAAATTATTTTATTTCTTATCATTAAGAATCACATGAACTAAATTATTATTTTAACACATAAAACAATGTTTGGAAAATTCATTTTTAAAAATAATGTACTCCAAATATCATTCCAGAGTTAAAAAAAAATTGATTTCTAATTAATTTCTTAAAAAAAAAAAAAAAAATGGAATTACATTCACAAATGTACACAACATACATTTAATGTGCATTTATAAATTTTTTTTTTTTTTAAGTGGTCTTAAATAGTATAAAAATATTAAATAATCTATTTTTTGAAAAAGAGTAAGATAAAATATAAATGTCATTTTTTAAAAAACTGCTTTACGGGATGGTTATATTTTTAATTTTTAATTGTTCTTTATATACATTTAATTGGTTAATTTTCTATTTAAGATAATATCATTGATAAATTTAAATTCACTATTAAAATTTTTTTATTAACCAAAGTAAAATCTTTGTGCATGCCCCTACAAAAAATTGAATTACCCTTCCTGCCCCACTAAAGGAAATAATTCTGACATCTGCCTAATCTTATGATTTTAAAAACAGGTTTAGTAGTCATAAATATTTTATTATGAAATTAAAAAAACTTAAAAACAAATACTAATAATTATTTTTACTAGTAAATATTTAAAATATAATTAAGAGAGATAAGTACAAAATCTATCTTTTGGGTTACAAGTATTGACTATGACTTAACTAAAGTCATAGACTTTGCATCACTAAGTTTTATCATATTTTTATTGATAAAACTTATTGATATTTTTATCATTTTATTTGAAATGAAGTGTCTACATTCACATTTTATCAAAAATTAAATACATTTGAAAATATTTAATATATTTACCTTTATGTTTGTTAACCATTTTATCTGATTTCATAGTAGCATCTTTCAAATGACCATAATAGTCAATGAGAAAGTTTTTTTCTTGTTCAAAGAAGTCATTTACATCTCTAACTGTAGCCGAAAGTAGATATTCGTCTGTTGTTTTTGATAATGATTTCATAATTTCCTAGAAGTATAATTTAAGTTAAAAATCAATTTATATGGTAATTAACAAAATAAAGAATATAAAATAAAAAAATTTAAAAAATATTTTTATTTTACATTAGACATTATTCCTTTCTAGTTAACAACTGGTTTTACACTAGCCACATTCAGTAAAACTGGTGTATAAAAGAAAAAAAATTATTTGCATCGGTTCTTTATTGCCATTTGCAGTATATATTTTGACTATACTACTCACACAAGTAACTTTAAAATACCAATTTAAAAACCAGATATACCATTAAATTATACTTAAAGAAAAAACTGAATTTACAGTTACATCCATCCAATTAAAATTGTTGTATTAAAAATTTCAGAAAATTGCGCAAAAAAAATTCAAAATGTTATATCTTAATTCAGTGTCCGCTTAAATAAAAATAAACAATACACAAAAAGGGTGTGTAATAAAACATTGAACATTAGATTTCTCATATAAAAATAATTTTGAGATACTTAAAATCTCACAATAGTATTTATTTTTCAATTTATAAGATTTTATTTTTTAGGTACATATCTTATCTCTTATAAATGTACCAACTTAATTTTTTATTATTGCAACATACTTAAAGGAAATGACTGATATTTCCAATAAATATAAAAGTTTATATGGTGTTATATTATAAAAAAAATTAAACTAGTATTTTGGATGTTAATAACACTTTAAAATATAGACTGAATATGAAATGAGAGTTATGTTACTTTCATTATAACATATCACTGTCCTGTGCTTTTTTCACCCAAGTATAAAAATATATAGCATTCGAAACGCTAGCTCAAAAGTTGTTCTTAACCAAACATTTTATTAGTCATTTACTAACACTTAATTTAGTAAAATATACACACTGTTAAAAAAAATACATTAAGATGGTAACTCTATGAGAAATAAATTCTATTAAACAAAACCTTTTATGGATTTGTTTAATATAATTTATGTAATATTATTGTTGGAGAAATTTGTAGGCAAAAAATAAATCTGTTATTGTTGTCATAGCTTTATGCTTACCTCAAATAACTCCTTTTTGTTTTTAGTACGAACAGCTAAATCTTGATCATATTCAAGAAATACTCTAAAATTTGTATCATAACGAAATACTGGATGTTGGGCGAGTCTTGAAAGAAACATTTCATGCATAGCAACAGTTTTTTTAAATGTAGCTAAATATTCACTAAAATTATTTATTAATAATAAATTATAATAGTTTAAAATATTATAGTATATAATTTTTAATTTAACTAACGCTTCTAATTCTTTTTTCATTTTCATAAACTCTTCTTTAGTCATAGTACCTTCTCCTTCACCGAGTTTTTGTAATTTTTCTCTTGATGAATCAAAATCTGGACGTGGTGGAGCTGGTGGAATCTATAAAATAAATATTTATTATTTGACAAAATAAAATGTTTTAAATGCATAGTTTTTCATCACATAATTAAAATTTGTATACTAAACTACATGAAAAAATTTAACTATTACTTATTATTTATTTATCAATTAATATAAAACTTTATATTAATTGTTGTTTATTATAATAAAGTAATTTAAATTTGTTTTTTTTTTATATTTCTTAATTCCAATAAAATTTTGTAATCTATATTTAATTTTTGTAAAATATAAGATAACTACAATGTGTATTTAAATATTTCTAAACATAAAATAACTAGCTGTTATTAGATATGTTTTTATAACAGAACAAAATCCAGGAAATCATCGACATTTAAAAATATATACAGAGTATCCCACATGATTTTGACAACTTTAATAACTTTGTTGTAATACCTGATCTATTATACATATATATTATTTACTCAAATATTTGAAACTTTAAAGTTTTATATCTAATAAACAAATAAAGTTATGTAAGAAACTCAAATGCTATTTACTATTAAAATAAAAACAAATATTTCATTGAATTCAAAATATGTGTTTCAATTTGAAAAACAATGTTGACACCCTTACAAGGCATAAGAGATAACTTAAAAAAGTATTATTGACATTAAAGTATTATTAAGTTATTTAAAATAACTTAAAAAGTATTACATAGTTAATAATTCAAGAGTAATATGTAACTAAAGGTAACCAAAAGACATATTTCAAATTTTTTTTTATGTTAGTAATTGAGAAGTTTATGATAAAAAAATCACTATAAACCACCAACATTTTTTAAAAATTACATAAATAATTATTACAACCAAAAATTACAATATGCAAAAGTTATTAAAGGTATGACTACACAGCTATGCAAAAGTATATTCAGGAATTTTTTGGCCTGAAAAACAAATATATATAACGCAGTACTACCTTAACAATAAAAATTTTAGATAACTTTAGAACTCTTTTATATAATTTTGCAACTCAACATTTTGGTCGTTAAAAATCACATATTCTAGTCATTATTAATCTTTTTTGTCTAAGAGTTTCCTTATTAATTGAGCTATGAGCATGTAAAATTGCAAATGCTATGTTAACCTGCAAGAATTAAACATCATCTGTATCAGATAAATTAATTTAATAATTTAAGAAGTTTTCTATGGATGGCTGATATTATTTTATAATCACACGAATAATTTTTGTACTTTTTTGTACCACATTATTGGTTTAATTTAATAATTATTTTGAAGCCACATGGAACACAATAACTAGTTTTTAAACCTAAAATGTTCAAAGATTATTTTAGTGTGTAATAATAGAAAATTTGCTAATGATTGTTGATTTTTATTATTTTTGTATTTTTGTAAAATTAATAAAATTTATATTTATGGGTATTTTTATTTATTAGTTAATATTTTACACATACAGATGATTAGTTTTTATATTTTGGCATTTTATATTAATATATTTATTATTGTTAATGTGTATATAATACAATTCTGTATGAGCCAACAATCGTATTATCCTTTTTTAGTTTACCCCAGTTTTTAAATACTTGGTCCCTGGTAAAATGTATTACTTCTACACCCTCACCAAAAAATGTAAATAATACCATTTTAATAAATATTTATAAAATTCTAGCTTACAATGTAGCCAGCATAATCCTCATTTTCTTCAAATTGATCATGTAACCAAATAAATTCTTCATGTTGTCTTACAACAGAAAATTCTGATTTTTGAAAATCTGGCAATGTTGTCTAAATTAGGCAAATTAAATAAAAATATTTTAAGATAATAACTATTTTTTTAATATTTATATATTTACTCATACCTTTGAAAGAACAGTGAACTTTACTCTATCTTTTTCACTTAAAGCATCAGATATAACAACTTGAAGGGAATTATCACTCAAATCCACATTTTCAGAATTATTTCCCTAAATAAAATAAGATGTAATACAAAAAAATCAATTCATTTTTTACAAGTAAACACAATAAAAACACATTCAAAAAAAATTACTTAATAAATAATAAAATTTTTTTTTTTATATTTGCAGTCTTACATACTAACAACAAATTCTTAATTTCACAATAAAAAATTACTTTTGCTTACCTCATTTAGTAAATCTTCATTAACTAAATCATTTGGAGAATGGTTTTCTTCTGTATCTAGTTCATCCGACTAAAAGGTTTTAAAATAATTATTAATTTTATAATTAATTCAAATAATTTTATGTGTAGCAGTTAAAGTTTAAAATTCAAAATAAAAACTTTCAAGTTAAAGTAAATCTATATTTTGCTCTTGATAAATTAAATCTTCTAAATAATTGATAATTATACTTAAGTTATCAAGAATATATATAAATACATTCAAGCACTTGTTATTTTAATATAATTTGTCCACCATTAAATACTTTGTTATGGGTATTTTGACTACAATGTAAAGCTGAGAACTTATTTAATTGATATTAAACATTTAATAGTATATTATGATATTGATGAATCTTTTTAATTAAGTAATGGATACTTAAGATTAATTACTTAACAAAAATTAAGGATAAATCAATTTATTGGCAGAAAAATTATAATGTTGAATATGAAAAATTTCAACTAAAATGACAAATTAACTGTAATTAGTAAATAAGTCAACACAAACTAATAATATCAACAACTTACCAGCATCTTGGTGATTGTAGATGGCTAAATTATTTATTTTATTTACAACTTAAAAATTTAATTCGATAACAAAAAAAAATTTCAGTAATTGAGAAATAATTAATTTAAACGAAAACTAGTTTGACTATTATAAAAAAAGTCGTAAATAAATTCAATTACAATGTTAATAATAATAAATACTTTTTATTCCACTGGGTTAAAAATTTTTAATACTTAAAAAATTATATTAAACAAGATATATTTATAAAATATTCCATTAAACTTATTTAATAACAAATTTCTTATTCTACCGGAATAATTTGAATAATGACAGAACAATTAAAAGGATCATGGAATTGACTCAAAATATGTGCAAATCAAAATAGTTTCTGGACTCTGTAACTGATAAGCGGCATATACACGCCCACATTATTGTTCGATTGTTGCGGGTTGTTTGTGAGATTCAAGTTATGATAACATGTTATCGAATTTTTGTACTGAATTTCAAATTCAAGATTTGTAATGAGTAACCACTGACTATGAGTACGAAGTACAACTACACATTTTTAGTACAACGTCAACACAACTAATCAACAGTGTTGCTAACAGTAAAAATATTTTATAATTTGTATCATATGATTCTTTTAACTATTTAAAAAAAATTATTTTAACAAGTTTCAGTTTTTAAATTTATTTTTGATAATTGTTCATAGCAAAAACAATAATTTTTAGAACCTGCTGAAACTTATAAAAATACATAATTATTTTACACATTTAAATATAAATGTATACCATAAATATTTAAAAGAAAATGAATGAAAAACATGCTTTTGACATGTCACCGATTACAATTTTTAATATATATATACAAAGTGATCGAAATCTGATAATACACTAATTTTCTTAGAAACTATTGAAAATTTTTAATTTTTATAAAGAGAAAAAATATTTGTTAGCTTGTTAAACTTAAGTGATTTTAGGCAAAGTTTCTATTGTTATTTTACTGTATTAAATACAGAAGTCATTATTTTTATTTGTAAGTCTTACACATCCATAGACTAAATTTTTATAAAGAGAAAAAATATCAAGTTAAAAATTTCTACTTTAATATGTAGTCAAATCATTATTTTTTTTAACCGTTCAGGGATAAAAACCCTTATTTATAATTTTCTTAAATGGGAACCCTTATTTTTAATTTTATAATATGATAGAAAAAAAAATTACAAGCAACTTTGTTCGTACAATTTTTTTTTCGATTAACCGTTCGTCCCGTTACAGCTTGTTAATGTTAAGTGATTTTAGGCGAATTTTCTATTGTTATTTTAGTGTATCAAATACAGATGTAATTATTTTCATTTGCTGTTGCATAAATCAAATTTTATTGATCAAGTAATGACAAATAAATTAGTTATAAAAATTTACGACACACTAAATGAGTGATAATAATAGATTCAAAAAAAAAACATCTTAAAATACGTGACCAAAAAAAAACTTGCCTTCCCATACCAAACACCATATCAACTATTCAAATATCCTGCCCCAATAAGAAAACACAAAGGACCAACATCAATTATGGACACTTATATTCGTATATGCAAGGAATACAACTGTGAGTTCAAAATTGAGACATCATTTCCTTTTTTAACAACTCCATTCTGGCAGTACCACCCCAAAATCCACACCCAACTATCCCATTTGAACAAAAACATTACTCCCCACTCCACAATTGTCTCAATTTTTAATGAAAATATAAAATCCGACTTTCACGACTATGAATTAATTTATACTGATGCCTCCAAAAATACAAATGGCACAGGATGCGCATTCATTTCAGGCAATATAAATAGACTTTACAAACTACCCTCAGATGCAAGCATTTTCACGGCTGAAATCTTTGCTATTAAAGAAGCAATTACCTACACTGAATCCTCCCTGATGAATAAAGTACTAATCATAAGTGACTCCTACAGTGCCCTGACTTCATTATCATCAAATAACCCGTCAAATGAACTATCCCTCCAAATATGCAACATCATTAATAACTCTGATAAAATTTTTGAATTTATGTGGGTCCCATCACATATTGGAATCAATGGTAATGAAAAAGTTGACACATTGGCTAACCAAGCCATATCTTCTACTTTCTCATCAAAAATAATGTCACTACCATATAAAGATATTTTAAAAATAATCAACCGAATTTCCGTCCAACAGTGGCAAACCCAATGGGATGGTACTAC